CTATAACTAAATACCGCACTTTTTTGACGTCCAATGTTCCCTCGTCGAGACGATTCGAACTGATGGCCTGGGACCAGTCAAGTACAGTAACAATTAACACGACGTAATGGGTTCGACGCAAGCCGCACCCTCGATCGTGTCAAAGATTCACACAAAGAGCCCTTTGGTTGAAGGACCCGAGCAGGCTTCCGTCGGAGGTAGTCCCTAGCAGGAAGCGTTCAGTGTGCTAATCAGAACACTGCATTCACGCTGCGCCCTAGGTAGCTAGAGCCAGGAATCAGCATGAGGGAGGTCTAGAAGTTCAGATATCTCTTCAAGTTCCAGTTCGCGAGAGTACACGGCGAAGAAAAGGAAATGATGCGAGTAAAGTTTACCAGGAGAATGTAGAAAGGTCGAAATGAAGACATTCTTGTCCGGTGTCGAATGAAGCCTGGGATGCGAAGGACTGACAGATTTGCTGGCTGTGGACTTTGGAACTTCATGAAAGGCAGCCAACAAGTTCGTATGTATCATCTCGCAACGCCACGGACGGCAAAATGGATTACCGCGTCTCTGTCGATTTTAAACTACATATTTACGCAGTTGATGTGTGCGCCCAGGTTGAGATCTCCGTGCGCGAGACCAGATCGCTGCCGATATAAGTCCCCAGATGGTAATAGGGAGTTTGTTACACATCTTCTGGGATGTTCACCAGAATAGCGGTTTGAATCGGAAGACACCGGTCTTGATGGGCCGTTCGTTCGCTCAAGGACAGAGAAGCAAGGCCAAAGCCAGAAAAAATAACATGCGATGCTCCAGAACAAAAGACATGAGGAAACGAGCCGAAACAGACGAGCCAAGACGGACGGCTAGCGCCTCTAAGAGAAAAGCGCCCAGAATAACAGGACCAAACAATGTGGCGCCTAAAGAGGATGTATCACCTGGTGACAAGAAACCGATCTCTGGCTCGCAGGACAAGCGTCACGACATCAACGGAGAGCGCGCCAGTAACGGACACGCGCGTCGGCTACCTCGACGCCACTTTCACGCGGAGTCTGCACACCAGACGTTAATGGGAAGGAATGATACGCCGAAGGATACGTACTGGTCGCTTGGCGGTCTACGCACATCGTCTTCGCACATCCACCTACTCGCGCGGGGGCTCCTGATAAGGTGTCAGCGAAGGGGAAGGCTGCGGATATGCTGAGGCGGAAGTACGCGTAAGTGTATCTCCCCCGCACCTTCGTCATGAAGTCCCCGCCTTCCTCGTCATCGACCCCTCGACCTCTCCTCCTCCGGACTTTTGCGTACTGCGGCCGTCGATGCGCACGCAGAACCGAGTCGGAGTCTGTCTGGGCAGGAGTCAGCAACGAGGGCGGGAAGAAGATGGAGGGAATACGTACCCGTCGTGCTCTAGCTCTCGTTCGTGCTCGTGCTCTTGCCTTGCGACTCCGATGTCCCGCGTGCCTCTCCCCCGACCTCCACTCTCCCCGCTTCCTCGCCCAACTCCTTGCTCCTCGTCCCCCTCAGCCTCCCTCGACATCCTCGCCGCGTATCTCGCCTCCCACCCTCGCCCGCGTATCCCTCCCCGCCATCCCCATCCCCATCTCCCTTCTGTCTCCCTCTCCTGCCTCGCATTCAAAACCCGCCCGCCCAAAACCCCCACCACTGAGTCCATTGGCTGCAGCCGCGGTCCGCGCCCGTCGACAGCGGGAGTTGGTGGGGGTACGCAAACCATGCAGGACGCAGGGGTGGGATGGAGGAGGACATAGGATGAAAGGACGACGCAAGCGCGGGGTGCGTGTGCGGGAAGTCATCTGCGGATGCGGGGGGAAAGCGACTACCCTGACAGGCCTCGCCGCGATCTCCCCGTCCCGCTCGTGCGCGCTGTGGGGAGAAGGTCGAGGACGCGGACACGTCCATCCACCGCAGCCGCGGGTGGGAAGCGATGGGGGACGGTGTAGGCGCGAGCTTTGAGCTTGCGGTGGTAGTGGGGCGGGGTGGAAAGGCAACCCGTGGGTGCAGCCGCAGGTAGAGAGCCATCTGCGCACGCGGACGAAGCGATAGAGCTCGCTGGAGAAGCAGCGGGGCGTTAGCTGGTAATCGAGATGCGGAGGAAGGTGGACGTACCTGCGCGTGTATGCATACATGCATCTTCATCGTCCCAGTCCCAAACAGCGCCGTGCTCCGCGACACCGCCCACCCAAGTCTCCACGACACGGGCGCTCCTTCCCCCGGCTCAGCGCGGGCCAGTAAGACGAGGACGTAAAACTCGTCCTCGTCGCAGTCTCACGCCGCCAACTCGTTCCCCGACGTGCTCCTGCCGCCCACCGCGCTAGAGACGCCACTTCCGCCCACACGCCATACGAGCGACGAGCGGGAGGCTCCCCCGCCCAGCGCGCTCCAGTCCGACGCAGAGGAGGGAGGGAGGAAAGACGGACCCGCCTCCGATCGCGTAGAAGAAGCACGGCGTCATCGTGCTCCTGCTCTTGGCCCCCCTCCTCGCGCGCATCACGGCATAAATCGTTTCGCTCCCGCGCACCTGCTGCCGCCCTCCCATGCCCATCGCCGCTCCCAATCTTCGATGTCCACGTTCCCCTCGCCCCTCGCCCCGATTAGACACGCGCGATCCCCTCCTGCGCCGGCTCAGACTCCTCGCGAGGAACGACGCACCCCTAGGCTGGAAGAAGCGGGACGGAGCGCCCCCAATCGCGTCGATGCATCGGTCTCGTTCTTGCGTGCCTGTGGAAGGAAAGTAGATGATGCGCGGACCAGCGACTCCCTGTGTCGTATCGGTACGAGGATAGAGGCTTGTACCGGCGATGTCGCGGAGAAGATCGACGAGCGACCGCGTATCCTGATGCTTCTGCGCGTCCCCAAGTATCCCGGAAATCGCGGTGGGAGAGCGAAGATCATCGTGGAGGGCGAGAATCGCGAAGAAGATGAGTCGAGATCGCGAAGATCGCGACAATCGGAGTGGGGGGGTCAGCCGAGATCGGGCGGCTGGCGTGAGGCGTGCGGTGGAGGTCGAGCTAACCCCAGCGCGGGGCACGGAGGATCCAAATCTAAATTGGGTGGGGCGGGACACGGAGGGTCGCGGCGGCGTCGTGGAGGTCGAGGAGAGCGAGGGAGGCGCGCAGAATACGAATCCAAATGACGCCACAAAGAGTGTGTGGGACGCACATCGCAATGGTTATGCTTCTCCTGAGCGCGGAGACCCAATCTGCAAGCAGTCGTGCTCCCGAGGAACGCCGAGGTATGGATGGGGTGGATGAGGGAAGACCGCGACGGCGGTGAAGAACGATGGGGCCGGTGCAAGGTGGCGCCATGGAGGAGCGCGGACGCGGGCCTCAGGCTCGGGGCAGAGTAGGCGAATGCGAATCACGACAGGATATCGTACGAGACGCGCATCACAGCATTTGGGGCGGCGCGACGAGTCGCTGGGTGCCCGTGACAAATGGTAGCATGGGGATGGGCTTCAGCGGGCACGCAGAATCGGGGTCTCGGGGTCACGACAGCATGCTGTAGAGGACGCGGCGCGAATAGAGGATTATCGCGGCCAGTACTGCGTCCGGCGAGACTCGATCCAGCACGACAGAAGGGTGTCTGTGACGTCAAAATGGGGCGGGACGTGGAGGGCAGCAGCTGGCGCGGGACGAAGGAGAATGATTCACGCCGCATCTATATTCCCGATTCTACGGTGGGAACCGTTAGCGGGAGTGGGGACGCGAGGGATGTGGATGCGTACCTCTGGATGGCACCGGGGCGAGCAAAGCAAGCGTTGCGCGACGGGAGAGTAAGAGTAGTAGTAATCTGCGTTAAAGTGTAAGGGAAGAAAAAGGGGAATGAAAGAGCAAGATACGTACGCGCAGTATGTACGCACTGCTTGAAACGATACTGAGCTGGCTTACTCGATACAGCGGGAGCTAGACAACATGCTATACGTCTGGGGACTAGTATATGAATGAGCGAGCAACAGATAGCGGCGAATGAAGACACACGAGATTAAAGGACGAGGCGTAGGTTAACCCAGCGCGTCGATGCTAGTCTTGGCCCTAGCCCAATGGATCGCGCGCCGAGTTCGAGCGGGAAACTGCGCTTTCTCGTCGCCGTGGGTGCAGAAGCTCATGCTGGCCATGGTGGAGCACGACGTAGTCCGAGTTGGGAGGATTGCTGCCCGTGGCTAGCGCTGTGGCCTGTCGTGCGCAGCATTGTATTTCCCTAGACCGAAGCGGACACAACTAGGAAGGAGGAGGTAGGGCGCGGATTACTAGCCGCTCGTTGTGGAGGGTTGTGACAAGGTGGTGACCAAGCTGTGACTAGGGTTACTCTGTTCGTCGTGACACTCGGCGCCCGCTTCCTTTGCTTGCGATTCTCATGGCCGTCCTCGCCTTCCTGACAACGACTCATGTTCCATTCATCACTTCTGTTAGACGTTCTCCACTGCTCCAGTACCGCCCCTCCTGCATGCATCCAGCATGATCAGGCATGATCCCCCGTTCGCGGCAGCGCCCGTCCGGCTTCTCGTGCCACCCAGGCATTCCTTAGGTATTTGCCTCTGCCTATCCTGATCAGATTCATAACAGCAGAAACAAGGCCCGGTAGGATGGTTCCGCACCTGCACAAAATTAGGGGTTCAAGAGCTCATGCAGGTCATCGCTCGTTCGATCCGAGCCCGGGTCACTTAAGGAGCCGGACTTCTCTTTTTCTTCTCAACCCGGAGACTCATCAATTTCTGTTCACAGTAGAAAGAAGTCTCTGCGGATGGATGGTTCGACACCTGCACTTGCTGGATCTCCGAATTGTTGGAGGTTACAGTCTGTCGGAGCTCCAGGTCACCATCTCAGTACTTTCTGTTTATCCAGCAAATACCCTCACCCGTTCATCCATTCATCTTCCTTCGCCTTGCCGCTGGAACACGCACATAAACCCGAGGAGTGAGGTATGAATCCCTCACGATTGATTCCCCTGCACGTCCGAGTTCAATGTCTTGTTTATCCAGGCTGCGACTACGAGAAAAAGGCCCGGTCGCGGACGGTTCCGCGCCTGCGTACGATAAAAGAGTGTATTTGGTGTTTCCGCAGGATCGCTCGTTCGATTCGAGCCCGGGTCATAATGTAGTTTATCCGCGTCACATTTTTGTTTGTGGGCGTCTTTAATTCCGCCTTCTACCAAATTTATTGCGCTGACCAGATACAGTATTTACAGAGAAAGCTCTGGATCTCGTGGTTGGTCCTGTATCGAAATGTTTTTGTAAGCCCCCAATTACTCGTCGTGATCTATGAGCTCACAGGGTTGGAAATAAAGGTCTGGTCCGCACCAATGCGACAGATCCGTATTCTTCCTTGGCCTTGCCCCGGAACACGCACATAAATCCGAGTAGTGAGGTACGCCTCCATCTATTTATTCCCTTGCACGTCCATTTCGATGATCTGATTCCAATTCAACTCTGGTCTGCATATTCAGGCTCGCGACTGAGTAGCAGAACAAGGCCCAGTCGGACGGTTCCGCACCTGCGCGCGATCGCAGTTAAATAGCCGATGGCTTTCGGCAGGATCGCTCGTTCGACTCGAGCCTGGGTCATCATCGATGCTGATTTTCTTTTTTGCTCGATGCCTGCATTCAATCGAGGGCAGGTACTTACGTGGATGGGGCCACTCCTCCGACTCGAGGCCAGGCTTTTCTTGCTCTCTTTATCCTTTCGACCCTGTGAGTTATTCCACTCAAACTCACCTAGGCATACTCATATATTCATGTTCCCAGGCACCAGAAGGAAGGCCCGGTATCGGATGGCTCCGCACCTGCACTCGATCAGCGTCGAAGACAATTCAGAAAGTTTCCGCAGGATCGCTCGTTCGACTCGAGCTCGGGCCATTCGAGGTTACACATTATCTTTTTTATGGGCGTCTTTAATAATTCCACCTTCTACCAAATTTATTGCGCTGACGAGATACAGCACGAACAGAAAACAGATCCAATGCCACCCACGCATTCCTCAGATATTTCAATCGATCCTGATCAGCTTCATATCAACAGAAACAAGACCCGTGGCGGTTGGACCGCACTGCACGCAATAAGGCCCTTTTGTTGCCGAATTTATGCAGGCCATGGCTCGTTCGATCCGAGCCCGGGGCATGAATGGTTCGCCCGCGGTTTTTGTTGAGAGGGCCCATGTTCATCTACTGAGATCCACAGGTAATGCACATTTCATTCCTTTCAAATGCGCATATATTCATGTTCCCAGGCAGCAGAAGAAAAGGCCTGGGTGCGGATGGTCCGCGCCTGCGTACGATGAAAGAGGGTGCGCGTTTCCGCAGGATCGCTCGTTCGACTCGAGCCCGGGCCATAATGTAGTTTATCCGCGTCGCATTTTTATTGGTGGGCGTTTTTAATTCCACCTTCTATCAAATTTATTGCGCTGACCACGTACAATATATATAGGGCAAGCGGATGCTGGATGCCGCGGTGATACATGGGCTCCTTCATACACGTCAACGCCATGATTTTCTGGGTGAGTCGTTTCGCTTCGAATTCCATGATCTAACGAGGTTCACAGGTGGCCCGGCGACAGATCTGTAACACTTTTGTGTGCGGCCATATATGGTTCAACCTTGTAGGTGCGACAACAATGCCCGGCTCCACAACTTTCAATGGAGGAGCATGTAATTAAATTTTAATTCGTAAAACTCTTCTCGTTCCTTTTCGACAACTTTCACACAAACTCGTACCATTCAGATGCTCATATATTCATGTTCCCAGGCAGCAGGAGAAAGGCCTGGTTGCGGATGGACCGCGCCTGCATTCGATGGGCAATCGATCATCTGCGAGGGCTATTCTAACTAGGCTATTGCTCCATCGGTCTTTCGAATCAATACTTCCGGGCGCTCATTCGACGATTTATCTACCACGCTCCTTTCTCGTCCACGCCGGTGTGTACGGTGTAGTACTCAACCTAATGTCCGTGCTCCATTCATCCGCGGCGCAGCACACCCTACTCGCAACCCAATTGTTTTCTCAGCTAACTCACTAAGGCGACTCTAGGTCTTGGGTTTCCTTTCTCACCTCAGACGTTTTCTAATTTGGCTGGCTTCCCTTCCGTTATTACCCTGCTCATCCGAATTCACTCTCAGCATCGACGATTCAAATGTTGTCCTTCTTTTTTCTACTTGCGGTGCTCTGCAGATACAGCCATGCGAGTACACGGGCTGGTCGACTTTGGATTGGGCGATGCCTGGCGTGTTGATGTGATAGTTTGTGTCCGCATCTTACCAGCAGGGATCTATTAAGATCGCGGTATACGCTCCCGCACTGGCACCTCCGAGTTGCGTCCGGAAGGCTCCAGTGATGTCGATGCCTTGCTAGTGGAAAGGGATCGGACACCTCGGGGGATGGGCTCCTAATTTTCTGTAGCATACGGTTCAGGAATGTGAGCACGTTCATACAGTCATGTATTTTTACGGTAGGTATAATTGAGTAGAAACTCCTGATTGAACTAATAGGCTGTAATAGCTGAGACTCACTCCCTGATTTCTACGTTAATTCGGGGATCCGAGAGGTGACACTAGCGCTTACTTCGGGTTCCCACCCCGAGGCGTTTCATGCACAGGAACAAAATGTTCAAGGTACGCTAGCGCCACGGTCTGGTCGGGAATGAGCAGCCAGTGTGTTGTTGGACAGGTTTGCACCAGCCAGTTTGCCGCTCGAGTCGCAATGTGAGATATATCGGGCAACACTAGTAAGAACAATACCTGAGGGGCAAAGAGTCGCACCATAATGTGTTGATGGCAGCCTACATTCTCTGGGGCTGGGGGCGTGACGATAGCAGTGTGCGGTATATAAGGACGGTGGGGAGCAGGCATTTCCCACTATCTCGAATCACAAGTGTGCTGCTTTTGAATAGTTGATTCTACTCCAATGCAATTCTTCAATCTTCTTATGCTGGCCAGCGTGCTCTGCACCGTGACCGCAACTGCAATTTCCAAAGTATGGCTGGTGTTCATCTTGAGTCACAGGTTACCTCTGATTAAATGGTTACCCCAGGACCAAGGCATGCATATGGCAAAGCGAGGGGTATGTGAAGCCATCTCCGCTAAGTATCTTTAGACGACTAACTGATGGTGGATTGATATTCAGCTTGTGAGTAATTTTATTGCCGAGCTTGAAGTACTTCAATAACAGACGATTCGGATGCAGATTGTGAGTAATTCTACACCAAGCTTGAATCTGGAATTTATGCATTCAGACTGTGAGTAATTTTGTGCCGACCTGAATGATTGCCTGATACAGAATATGCATTCAGGATGTGAGTGGGGCTAATACCAACCACCTGTTTGACTGGAATTTGTGTTCAGGTGGCAAGTAATTGTCTGACGGAGTTGTTCCTGATATTGAGCCTGCATTCAGGTTGTGAGTGAATTTGTGCCGACCTTGAAGGATTGACTGATACAGAACTCGCATTCAGGGTGTGAGTAGTGCTGGCCAAAAATACGATATGGTCAGATATATTTTGGATATATCCAAAAAATATGAATACGATATGGCCTGGCACCCCTCCTCTGGATATGAATACACCAGAATATGATATGATATGATATGAGACTGGGCGTATTTAGATATATCTAGATATGGTCTTAGAGTTTTCAACCATCTCCTTGCTGGAATTCCTGCTAGTGGATCAGGTAGCTGTATAGAAACAGGCATCCAAACTCAGTACAGGGCTCAGGATTGTCTCTAGAGGCTGCTCAGAGTTTTTGTGCACGGAATCAGTGAACCTACCAATGGTGATGGGATCACCCACAAAAGGAAACATCATCCAATCTCTCACAAGCACAAAATCACTATTTTGCTCTTTGGTGGCCCTTGCCTGCTGTTTCCTCCTCCAGGCTTGGCATACTGGGTTTACACTACTTCAATTCCCTTCTGCACAATAATTTCCTCCTCACAAATGGACCAAACTAGGTATTTTTGTCTGCACCCGACGAGAATTTGCGGTCACGGGAGTCCACATTGCATCAGTGAGATTATCACCAAGGAGTGGTTGAAGTTGGGAGTGGGCAAGGGTATGAATTACACCGGGTTCATTTAGATTAAAGTTGCGGAGAATATATCTGGATATATCCAAAATATATTCATATTCAACCGTCTGGATACGATATGATATGATATGAATATGATACGGCTCTCCTGGTCGGATATGATATGGATATGGATACAATATGCCATTTCGCGTATCATATTCATATTTGGCCAGCACTAGGTGTGAGTGTTCCATGCCGAGCTCAGATCTGATTCGCTGGAATTTTTGCCCAGGATGTAAGTTATTTCACGCTGGAGTCCGCTTCTGACTATTGATACTGAACCCGCATTCAGCTTGTGAGTGGGTTTGTGCCGACCTTGAATGATTGCCCGATACAGACCTTGCACTCAGGATGTGAGTGATTCTATGCCAACCTTAGTTCTGATTGCCTGCAATTTGTGCTCAGAACGTAAGTAATTGTGTGAAGGAGTTGGCTTCTGATCTTGAGCCCGAATTCAGGTTGTGAGTAAATTTGCGCCGTTGTTGGAGTGCACTGTATGATATGGATTTCAGGTCCAGAATGTGAGTAAATCTGTGCTCATCTTGGATTTTATATTGAACTCGTACTCAGTTGTGAGTAATTTCGCGGCGACCTTAGATCTAATTCGCTGGAAATTGTGTTCAGGATGTAGGTGGCTTTATGAAGGAGTTTCTTATATTGAGCTTGAATTCAGGATGTGAGTGATTCCACTCCGAACTTGGAGTTGAGTTCCTTGGAGTTCCCATGACCTTGCTTTCAGACCGTGCGTGAATTCATCTGTTCAGCCAACTTGAATCCCTGATGAGACACATTCCTTCAGTTGATCGGGGGTCCGCCTAGTGCCGCCAGTGATATGCAGATCTTCGTCAGGAAAGACAGTCACGCTCGAGGTCGAGTCATCTGACACCATTGACAACGTCAAGGCAAAGATTCAGGACAAGGAGGGCATACCCCCTGACCAGCAGCGTCTGATCTTCGCCGGGAAACAACTCGAGGATGGGCGCACTCTCTCTGACTATAACATCCCGAACGAGGCCGTTCTCCATCTCGGTATGTA